GACAGTTGTATATAAGAGTTCCAAGGAGCGATCAGGGCTAGACATCAAGATTTAGAAGCCATCAATATATATATGGTATTTAATGTTTTTAAATCACCTGGGAAAAGCCTGTAAGATAGAGAAGTAGGCATTGATTGAGATCCAAGGCATGTCAATGTAGAAGTTAGGTGGAGAATTAGAAACCAGCAGAGGACCCTGAGGAGTGTAAGGTAACGTAGAGAACAAAAAACCAATTGGCCATCTGGATTAAATGCTTTAAGAAGCCAAGTTTAAAGTAAAGAAATGGCCATTGGGCTTGGTAACATGGAAGTTACTGACGATTTTGACAAGGGCAGTCTCTATGAAGTAGTGAAGTCAAAGCCTGATTGAAGTGGATTGAGAAGATACTTTAGAAAAGAAGGTGGAGTCAGTATCTATACACAACTCTTTCAAGAAGTTTTACCATACGAAAGCAAGAGGAACAGGGCAGTAGCTGAGTAGTTGGAAGTAGATATGGGGTCAAGAAAGGTGTGTGTGTGTGTGTGTGTGTGTGTGTGTGTTTAGAGAAAGGATGCTAGGGAATATTTATATATGAATGAGAATGATCTGGTAGAAAGGGGAAAACTGATTATGCAAGAGAGAATTTAATTAGAAAAGGCTTTGAGAAGTAGAAGGGTTAGGATTCATAGCTTAAGTTGGAAGGTTAGTTTTTGACAGGAGGAGACAGAACTACAATGGGAGGGAAGGCAGAGTGTGTAATATGCAGATAGGTTGGTAGATTTATGGTAGAAATGTAAGGATGTTACTGTGTGAGTAGTCTTACTTTACCAAGAGGAAATAAAAGTCAGTATAAGGAGTGGGAAGCAGGTATAGGCTGGAGAGATGTGTAAGTAGTTGGAAAGGGGGAACACACACACACACATAAACATATATATGTGCATATATAAACATAGTCAATGGGCATTTGTATGTAATACACCACAGGAAAAAGACCTATTGTATAAAATATATTAAAGCCATTTTACTAAATATTTTTGAGACATCTTATTTGGAAGACCTGAAACTGAATCCTGAGCTTTTCCAAGGATGCTGATGACAGAGTCCTCTTTCCATAATGTAGAGATTAAGTGAGGACTTCTCAATGCCATAGATACTTCCCATGTTTTGTTATTTTTGTCTACTACAGTGTAAAACACAGAAACATCTTGTAGCCATTCTAATTCAAAGCTTATGAAAATTAGTTTAATGTTTAAAGATGTGTATTATATATTCAAGCTGTCAATTTTCTCAAAACACTATTTTGAGATGGTTTGAGCCCACATCTGAAATTAAAATAAATAACTAAATAAAGGTAATCAGGCTCTAATCGTTTGGTAAAACAATATTTTATTTTGTTTTGTTTTCATATAAAAACATCTGTCGTTTAGGAGAAACACAAGGGCGATATATATATTTTTTTCATTGTGCCCTCTCTATCCTATAGGAAGGATGTGACTTTTTCATTGTGCTTGGAGCTTTATTTCTGGATAGGCTGTATGTAATTCAGTGTGTTGGAATTTATACGTGCATATTTGTTCTTTGGATTTGATGTAAAATTAGACTGTGAATAATGGAATAAGATTGCTCTCCATTTTTTTCTGTTTTAGCATAGCCAAAAATGTAAAGATATATGTGTACATATAAATATGCATTTGATTAAACTCAATATTTAAATGGCCATATCAAGTATTAAATGGTAGATTTGACAGTTGCAGTGTATTCAAAATAGTTATAAAAATCTCTGTAGCACAAATCCTAAAAAGTTTATTTAAATACTAAATAGTACATTTATATTAAATGCCTAGATAACAACTGTCTAGGCTGAGACATTTAGTCCCTCAGAGAGTAATATTTGACTAATGATAAACTGCAGCTGAAAACATTTTTTCTTCCTATGATTTTTAAAATGTATCTCTTTGTAACCTGTCATAAAGTTATTTATCATTAATTATGGATTTAGCACTGTACCCATCTACTCTTGCAAAAAGGGGAAAAGATCTGTTTGTGAGAAGGAAGTGCAGCACTGCATTATTTTTTCTCTTTGGTATTACATCACTATTTACAGCTTCAATATATGCCTTTCACTCAGGTTCCTTACACAGCCTATGTTCTTTTTTCTGGTTGTATCACAATATGGTAGAAAGATAAACACAGTAAGAGGGTGTTTACAACAGAACTGCAATCCTACCTATTATCTACTTCACTATGACAATGAAGTAGTCCAGACTTACTTGAAGGTTGTATTGTTTTCAACTTATAAAATCTACTGTAATATTATGATGTTCCATGTATATTTTCACATGCTGGCATGCTTACAAGTTATAGTGTTATAGAATGCTCAGCTCTCAATGAGGGATTGTTTGCGGTGAATTGCATTACATATGTCATCTATCTATTTGCTGAAAGAATATGGTGTTTAGCAAAACTACCTGCTGAGCAACATAAGATTTTTGTACAAAGTACAAGTTACTAATTATTGTATTTTATTTTTCTATGATTTCCTAAGAGGCATTATCAGGGTCTTACAGATGGAGTAAGCCTGTTTATTAAAATATCTATTAGCAAATAAAAGTTCTAGTGGTTGAATTTGTGACTTTTTTGTATTGTCGTGTTGATCATATTTAATATAATTTATCTTTTAGTCTATTAAATCTAGATGCTCTTTACATATATTAGTAATTTTGGAGACAAAATCATAGCTGTAATTTTTCACAATAATAGCATTAAGGTCAAGACATAAATTCACATAAGTCACTATATATAATTAGTACATATTTTATAGTGATTTTATATCAGCAAAATATTTTGTGAGATTCAAGTGAATTAAATTGTTCATTGCATAGGTAATACTGTATACAAATTGCAGATGACTGACAGATACACATAATGTACAACTGTTCAAACAGCTTTAGACTATCAATATTTATTCCAAAAACATCCAGTAAATTACCAATCATGGATTTTCTATATTTTTTTAAAGTTGCTGGTAAGAAAATATATTAAAAGTATCCTGAATTAATCAGAATAGCACTGTACTCACCATATCTCACTCTTCTCTCTTTTATAATTCTTACCACAGTTCCAAAAGCCAGTATGAAATTTAAACTGGTAATAAAGTACTTGAAACTTTCTTTCCTTATACAGGTATCTTAAGAAGGCTTCATAAAATTAAGAACCATTTTTAAAGCTTCTTATTCTCATAATAAGGAGACCCAAACTAACTTCTTAAATCAAGTGAAACCAATTTTCATGCTGAGCCTTGAGTGTATTGTTGAGAGCTGTTTTGGTTGGCAAAGCACCAAAACAGCAGATTCAACCATATGAAGTATTTACTTTTTTAAAGGTTGTTAGTTTCAAAACTGACGTTTTCTAGATTATTGAGTAGATTGTGGGTTTCATGACCACTATTTCATCTCTAATAATAAGAAGCCAACATATCAACTACACTTATCTATTTACTTAGCTCAATTTTTGTAAGAGAATTATGTACCTTAAGATAACTATTCACTTAGCAAACTTTTAAAAAAGAATTATGTTATCTGCTTAAATTGACTGAAAAGTTGGATATCCAGTCTCTCCATTTCATTTCCAGCAGAAAATATCAACTCCAAACAGGAAAAATTGTCTGTACACTAATGTTTCCTGAAACATAAGATTTCTACTTAGCTCTAAGGAAAAAAAAAAAGTCAAAATCCGGCTGTAAGTACTTAGCTTCCAACTTTTATCAAAGTGAGTCACAATACCCAGACACACAGAAAAGTAATTAATACCTCGCTGTAAATTCAGTGTCAGAAGTTAAAGGACCACATTTAAAAATCTTACCCATATAATAAAAATTGCAGTACAAAGGAAGATAGGAAATTGTTTATTGAACACCTACTGTGTGCCAAACATACACATACCTCTGTTACCTACTTATTCCTCAAAACAACCAGATGAGATATTTAGTGTCTTTTTGAAGGTGAGGAAGCTGAACAATAGAGCAGCGTTAACTGGTCTAAGGCTACACAATAAGGCGGAATATATTCCCATACTCCATTTTTTCAAGGACATTGGTAAGTAAGTTCTTTTGGATACGCAACTATAGGTTTTTTTTGTTTTTGCGTTTTGTTAGTTTTCATCTTTCAACAAGAGTCACTAGCCCAGAACATTTTTTTTCCATTGTAAAAATAACAGAACCGCATTTGAAAATTTGGAAAATAAAATAAAATGCATCCCATGATTATGCAAATACAACCTTTCCCCCATTATTACTTTTATATAATTCCTTCTAGTCTCTTTTTTCACTCTACTAATCCACTTAATAGGCCGAAATTGATAAGCCAAAGAACAGGTAGGGTAGTAAATATAACACTAGGTAGCTGGAGGGGGTAAAGAATCTCATACTCCTGGCTAACAAAGGAGATAAGTCATTTACTATTACTATAATACCCCAGAGCAATTTAAGAGGGTGGCTAACTTTAAGCATTGGGACTACAGATTCCTGACCACCTGCCGATTTGATTCTGGGGACTGTACTCTAATCGCAGGGGATTATGCCTCGTGGAAATCTCTTCAGGAGATCAGACACCTCAGAAACCAGGTTCAGGCAGACTTCCTTTGCCGAATAATGCCTGTGAGTTTATCTCCTCTCCTTGCCCGCACGAACGGTTTTGCTTCTCCAGGACTCCGGGGTCTGAGGCCTAACAGCCTGTTAAAGGGTGGATGCGATGGGCAACCAGGCAATTCTGGCGTACTTCTCGCCCTAGAGCTCATAGTCGGGTCCCGCAGTTGTCGCCACCGCGCTGCGCCCATGCTCGACGTCGACGCAGACTCCTCTGCGCTCTGGGCGCCACAAAGTGCGCCGCTCCCTCTGAGCTGACTTTCCCGAGAGGGCGGAGAGACCGTGCGGCGAGAAAGGCCCGAAGCCAACGCGGACACCGAACACTTCCCAGCAGGCTGTGCGCAAGCCTACAACTCCCATTATGCTCCACCGGGGAACAGCGCGGCTCCTCGCTGGGAGGCGGCAGTTCACCCCTTCAACCTCGCTTACACTTCTTCAGTACTCCTCGCTATGCCTCTGGCATTTGGGGGAGCTCTTCAATCCCTTAACAGGAGCACGGCGGCTGACGCGCTGAGACCTGGGGAGGCGTGGCTCCGCACCGGAAAAACCTCCGGTTGCCCGGGGAACGCCACGCACCACGGCGCCTGACCCGCCACTGATGCTTGGGCTGAGCCAGAGGCTACCCCTTCACCCAACTTGCGGAGGCGGCTTTGCTCAGGCCCAGGAATCCTTCCTGTGGAGGCCTAGAGAGGAAGGCTGAGGGACGCCCGCACCATATTCCCATTGCAGAGAGGGATACGAGCGAGTGCGTCCATTCCTGTTCTTCAGCAGCTCCCGGGCCCGCAGGACTAATCTCAAAGACCAGGTATCTCCCCAACCCCAATTTTTGTATCCAGCGCCACCCCCTAGTCCCCTCCGCCACCAGTTTTAGAATTGCTCTTCCTCATGTTTTTCACTCCGTGTGGTGGTTTCTAATGTGTGAGAACTAGAAGAGAAGAAGTGGGCTATGGACCCCAGAAAACTCATGGAACTGCTTTGGGTGAATTTTTGTTTGATTGGATGGTTTTAACACTACCCGATTTGGGCCTCTTTGTTTGCTGTGTGGGAAGTATAATTGAAATTTCATCATCAAAAACTGAAAGCTGAATAAAAATATTTATTGGGGGTAGTGAGAGTGTGCTATAATTCACTCTAGAAACATTTTTAAAGTTACAAAGTACCATTCATGGTGTTTTCTTTGCTCGACCACTCTCTCTGTGTAGCCTACCTTCCAAGCTCGTAACTATGGGTAACATCCTAATTCTTCAGGACTTTTCTGGCAACAAGTTAAAAAAAAAAACTTTAGAAAGCAGATTCTGGGACTTCCCTGGTGGTCCAGTGGTTAAGACTCCTCGCTTCCACTGCAGGGGGCCCGGTTCAATCCCTTGCTGGGGAACTAAGATTCCCTCGTGACGCCTGGAGGGGCCAAAAAAAAGAAAGAAAGAAAAGAAAAGAAAGCCGTTCCTCAGATAACAGCCAAGAGAATTTGATTGGCTGGTTTGCAGAGAGAGGAAAACAGTAAAATAAGAAACTGGAAAGGTAGATTGGAGCCAGATTGTGAAAAACTTTAAAAGCTATGCATGGAAGTTTAGACTTTATTCTAAAATCCTGAAGTTCTCAATAGTGACTGTACATCAGAAACACTGTGTAGCTTTTTAAACTACAGATGCCCTGATTCCATCTTCAGAAATACTAATCCAGCTAGCTGATTCCAGTGTGCAGCCAGGGTCGAGAATCATGGCTATAGGAGTAGGTTGCTACAGAAAACTTTCACTGTATCTCCTCCTGTGCACTTAGGACATGGTTAATGAATGTCCAGTGACTTAAGTTATCTTGTTTCCTTATTTCATGCAAGCAAAAAGTAAATTTATAAAGATGTATAATTACTAAGAAATAGAAGCATATATAAGGCTCTATTATAGTTGTTTATAAAGCAACTTCAATAAATGTAATTATATCTCTTAGAACAACTGACTTTATTTTTTATTTTATTATTTTTTTCCATCTTTATTGGAGTATAATTGCTTTACAATGGTGTGCTAGTTTCTGCTTTATAACAAAGTGAATCAGTTATGCATATACATATGTTCCCATCTGTCTTCCCTCTTACGTCTCCCTCCCTCCCACCCTCCCTATCCCACCCCTCTAGGGCTGATCTCCCTGTGCTATGCGGCTGCTTCCCACTAGCTATCTATTTTATGTTTGGTAGTGTATATATGTCCATGCCACTTCTCTTTTAAATTGCATATCCCACAGTATTTCAATAACAAGCATCAGGTGTTTGATAATCCATGAAAAAGGGGACAGAAAATCACAATCCGATGTTCTATGAAAAAACGAATATTCAAGTATCAAGCTTTTGACAATCAATGCTTTATTGTAGATGCCCAGAGGGGGATGATATGAGAAGTGGTCATATTTTTTAAAATCTATTCAAAATCGTATGGGAATTGGAAAACAAGATATAAACCTATATCAATATGCTTAGTACAATTAATAACAAAGTGAGTAATAGCAAATTTACCTTGAATTAAAATGGTCTGTGTGAATTGTTTCATGATATCCGAAGGCTAACTTAAAGTAGATTCTACAGATGTCTATCCCTAAGCTGAGATTTAAAGGAATGGGTTGAGTGAGATTTGAATCTCCAACACAAGGAGAGAAGTCGATTCAAGCGGCACAAATGGAGTACCTGAAGTCAAACCCATCCCTTGGGTAAGACAACTGTGGCCCCATGTTTGGGTGGGGCGCTTTACCTTCTCTTTTCTGCACATCATTGGAATTCAGTTTTGAAATTTCTGTCCATAATGATCTCTGAAGGGGCCTAAGCAAAATTAATGATGCAGCCACCTTTCAGATGCAGTTGTCTTGGAAGCTTCTTATTTTTTAAGTTGCTGAATCCTCATCCTTCAAGGTATGGTCTTGCCTTTTTGGTGTGGAATAAAAAATACTGAAGGAGCTGTAAGATGACAAGCTTCTGGAACCTTAGATGGAGATGAGAATAAATCAATGAAATGAAACTGATATTTAGAGGGTTTTTTGTTTTGTTTTGTTTTGTTTTTTAAGAGAACTTTGAAAATGGTGGTTTGGAGAGTAATAGGAAATGTTTGGAATACAGGTGTATTGTAGTTACTGCTGTAGCAGTCCCTGCAGCAGTTGAGGGCTGGCAAAAGTGGTATCTCTCTTCTCCCACCACATAATGATGTTTTGGGAGGTGGGGGTGGTGATGGACCCAAAGGAAGAACCTTTGGAAAGTTTCATTTGGAGACCTGAAGTCTAAATCTAACAGTACCTTAGAAGGGTATGAATAGCCATAAAGTTATCACATAGCCAGCAACGCATCATCAGCAGTTTTACCTGACTTCAAAATGCTTGTGTTTGGATTACTGATGGAGTTTTTTTGAAAGTTTGCATTGGAAGGATTTTTTTTCCCAAAGAAAGAATTGATAAACAAATGAACACTTCAGGGACAAGTTAACAAAGAAACTTTTATGGTATTTGAGAAAATGAGATGAAAATGTAAGATTGGTATTTACATTCATATTCTTTACTAGTACACTAGTTAAAATTCTTTTAAAATGATACTTAACAGGATAGTTCATGTAAGTTATAGTTTCAAAGAAACAGGTATTTATTAAGGTTCAAATATTGTGTGTGTTTTATACATAACCTTCTTCCCAAATGGGTTTGTGGTGACTTACAAAGATATACGTAAGGACTAAGGAAAAATTAAGATAAATATATCAGTTAGGATTTTTTGTTTCTTTTGATAGAAGACATAACCTAAACTGGATATAATCAAGCAAAGAAACAAAAATGGTGAATTTAATGTTTATTACTTTGTATTATTGCAAACTACAATGGGGCTGGCTTTAGAAAAAGATTTGACCAGTGGCTCAAAGGATGTAGCCAAAATCTCAGTTTTTCTGTTATTCTGGTCTGCCTTCTCACTTTCTAAGCTTCAGCATCAGGCTTCACATGAACGCCATTGCCCATACATTGTTCCAGATTTCCAGAAAAGGCTGCAAATATTCTCAAGTATCACAAATGGCAGACTCCACATGATTCTGAGTTTAACCACATTTTCTTCTTAAGTATTATATGTTACGATGAGAAACGTACAGTTATTTCAAGGGCATTATTCTGTGTTGCCAGGGGTTATTATCTGCCAATCTGCGTTTCAGTTAAGACTCCTTTCTGGTAATCAGCTTAAACTCTGTTTACTAAATGCAAAGCTACGTTGACATGGTTTTCACAATATCACTGTGTCTTTAAATTCTGAAATTTGGGATACATATGCTCATATTTTCTATTCTTAAGGTGCCTGTGGGTAATATATCTTTTTTTTTTTTTTTTCCTGACTTGCAGCTGGTTTGTAAATACTTGACTCACATTATGGGATTGCTAGACAGACTTTCAGGCTTGCTTGGCCTGAGGAAGAAGGAGGTGCATGTTTTGTGCCTTGGGCTGGATAATAGTGGCAAAACAACAATCATTAATAAACTTAAACCTTCAAACGTAAGTATATTTATTAGATACTTTGTGTATTTTCTTTTTTATAAAGGACTGTTTTTATTTTTATTTATTTATTTTTTATAATCCTTTTTTTTATTTTTGGAGTAAATTTGCTTTACAATGTTGTGTTAGTTTCTGCTGTACAATGAAGTGAATCAGCTATATGTATACCTATATCCCTCCCTCTTGAACCTCCCCCTCCTGCTTCTCCCACCATCTAGGTCATCACAGAGCACCAAGCTGAGCTCCCTGTGCTATACAGCAGGTTCCCACTAGCTATCTATTTTACACGTGGAAGTGTTTTTATGTCAAACCTAATCTCCCAAGTCGTCCCACCCTCCCTTTCCCCCCTGTATCCACATGTCCGTTCTCTACGTCTGCGTCTCTATTCCTGCCCTACAAATAGGTTCATCTATACCATTTTCCAAGATTCCACATATATGCGTTAATACACAATATTTGTTTTTCTCTTTCTGGCTTACTTCACTCCGTATGACAGACTCTTGGTCCATCCACATCACAAAGAACCCAATTTTGTTCCTTTTTATGGCTGAGTAATATTCCATTCAATATATGTACCACATCTTCTTTATCCATTCATCTGTCATTGGACACTTAGATTGTTTCCATGTCCTGGCTCTTGTAAATAGTGCTGCAGTGAATATTGGGGTGCATGTGTCCTTTTGAATTATGGTTTTCTCTGGGTATATGCCCAGTAGTGGGATTGCTGGGTCATATGGTAGTTCTAGTTTCAGTTTTTTAAGGAACCTCCATACTGTTCTCCATAGTGGCTGTATCAATTAACATTTCCACCCACAGTGCAAGAGGGTTCCCTTTTCTCCACACCTTCTCCAGAATTTACTGTTTGTAGATTTTTTGATGATGGCCATTCTGACTGGTGTGAGGTGATACCTCATTGTAGTATTGATTTGCGTTTCTCTAGTAATTAGTGATGTTGAGCATATTTTCATGTGCCTCTTGGCCATCTGTATGTCTTCTTTCGTGAAGTATCCATTTAGGTCTTCCGCCCATTTTTAGTTGGGTTGTTGGTTTTTCTGATATTGAGCTGCATGAGCTGTTTATATATTTTGGAGATTAATCCTTTGTCTATTGTTTCCTTTGCAAATATTTTCTCCCATTCTGAGGGTTGTCTTTCCGTCTTGTTTATGGTTTCCTTTGCTGTGCAAAAGCTTTTAAGTTTAATTAGGTCCCATTTGTTTATTTTTGTTTTTATTTTCATTACTCTAGGAGGTGGGTCAAAAAAAGTCCTGCTGTGGTTTCTGTCAAAGAGTGTGTTTCCTATGTTTTCCTCTAAGAGTTTTATAGTGTCTGGTCTTACATTTAGGTCTTTAATCGATTGGAGTTTATTTTTGTGTATGGTGTTGGGGAATGTTCTAATTTCATTCTTTTACATGTAGCTGTCCAGTTTTCCCAGCACCACTTATTGAAGAGGCTGTCTTTTCTTCATTTTATGTTCTTGCCTCCCTTGTCATAGTTTAGGTGACCATAGGTGTGTGGGTTTATCTCTGGGCTTTCTATCCTGTACCATTGATCTATATTTCTGTTTTTGTGCCAGTACCATACTGTCTTGATTACTGTAGCTTTGTAGTATGGTTTGAAGTTGGGTAGCCTGATACGTCCAGCTCCGTTTTTCTTTCTCAAGATTGCTCTGGCTATTCAGGGTCTTTTGCCTTTCCATACGTATTGTAAAATTTTTGTTCTGTTTCTGTGAAGAATGCCATTGGTAGTTTGATAGGGATTGCATTGAATCCATAGATTGCTTTGGGTAGTATAGTCATTTTCACAATACTGATTCTTCCAATCCAAGAACATGGTATATTTCTCCATCTGTTTATGTCATCTTTGATTTCTGTCATCAATGTTTTATAGTTTTCTAAGTACAAGTCTTTTGCCTCCTTAGGTAGTAGGTTTATTCCTAGGTATTTTATTCTTTTTGTTGCAATGGTAAATGGCATTGTTTCCTTGATTTTTCTTTCTGAATTTTTGTTGTTAGTGTATAGGAATGCCAGAGATTTCTGTGCATTAATTTTGTATCCTGCAACCTTACCAAATTCATTGATTAGTTCTAGTAGTTTTCTGGTGGCATCTTTAGGATTCTCTATGTATACTATCATGTCATCTGCAAACAGTTTTACTTCTTCTTTTCCAATTTGTGTTCGTTTTGTTTCTTTTTCTTCTCTGATTGCCGTGGCTAGAAATTCCAAAACTATGTTGAGTAAGAGTGGCGAGAATGGCCATCCTTGTCTTGTTCCCGGTCTTAGCGGAAATGCTTTCAGTTTTTCACCATTGAGAATGATGTTTGCTGTGGGTTTGTTGTATATGGCCTTTATTACGTTGAGGTAGGTTCCCTCTGTGCCCATTTTCTGGAGGGTTTTTACCATAAATTGGTGTTGAATTTTGTCAAAAGCTTTATCTGCATCTCTTGAGATGATCATATGGTCTTTATTCCTTAATTTGTTAATATGGTGTATCACATTGATTGATTTGGATATATTGAAGAATCCTTGCGTTCCTGGGATAAATCCCACTTGATCATTATGTATGATCTTTTTAATGTGTTGTTGGATTCTGTTTGCTCCTATTTTGTTGAGGATTTTTGCATCTGTGTTCATTAGTGATACTGGTCTGTTGTTTTTGTGTGTGTGTGTGTGATATCTTTGTCTGGTTTTGGTATCAGGGTGATGGTTGCTTTGCAGAACAAATTTGGGAGTGTTCCTCCCTCTGCAATTTTTTGGAAGATTTTGAGAAGGATTGGTGTTAGCTCTTCTCTAAATGTCTGATAGAATTTGCCTGTGAAGCCACCTGGTCCTGGACTTCTGTTTGTTGGAAGATTTCTAATTACAGTTTCAATTTCATTACTTGTGATAGGTCTGTTTATATTTTCTAATTCTTCCTGGTTCACTCTTGGAAAATTGTACCTTTCCAAGTATTTGTCCATTTTTTCGTGGTTGTCCATTTTATTGGCATAGAGTTGTTTGTAGTAGTCTCTTATAATCCTTTTTTTCTGCGGTGTCAGAAGTGATTTCTCCTTTTTCATTTCTAATTTTACTGATTTGCGTCCTCTTTTTTTCTTGATGAGTCTGGCTAAATGTTTATCAATTTTGCTTATCTTCTCAAAGAACCAACTTTTAGTTTTATTTATCTTTGCTATTTTCTTCATTTCTATTTCATTTATTTCTGCTCTGATCTTCATGATTTCTTTCCTTCTACTGACTTTGGGTTTTCTTTGTTCTTCTTTCTCTAGTTGCTTTACATGTAAGGTTAGATTGTTTGAGATTTTTGTTTCTTGAGGTGAGAATGAATTGCTATAAACTTCCCTCTTAGAACTTCTTTTGCTGCATCCCATAGATTTTGGGTTACGGTGTTTTCGTTGTCATTTGTTTCTATTTTTTTTTTAATTTCTTCTTTGATTTCTTCAGTGATCTCTTGATTATTTAGTAGTGCACTGTTTAGCCTCCATGTATTTGTATTTTTTGCAGTTTTTTTCCTGTAATTGATTTCCAGTCACATAGCGTTGTGGTCAGAAAAGATGCTTGATACGATTTCAGTTTTCTTAAATTTACTGAGGCTTGATTTGTGACCCAAGATGTGAACTATCCTGGAGAATGTTCCATGTGCACTTGAGAAGAAAGTGTATTCTGCCACTTTCAGATGGAATGTCCTATAAATATCAATTAAATCTATCTGGTCTATTGTATCATTTAAAGCTTGTGTTTCCTTATTTATCTTCTGTTTGGATGACCTGTCCACTGGTGTAAGTGGCGTGTTAAAGTCCCGTACTATTATTGTGTTACTGTCGATTTCCCCTTTTATGGTTGTTAGCATTTGCCTTATGTATTGAGGTGCTCCTATGTTGGGTGTATAAATATTTATAATTGTTATACCTTCTTCTTGGATTGATCCCTTGATCATTATGTAATGTCCTTCCTTATCTCTTGTAACAGTCTTTATTTAAAAGTCTATTTTATCTGATACGAGTATTGCTACTCCAGCTTTCTTTTGATTTCCATTTACGTGGAATATCTTTTTCCATCCCTTCACTTTCAGTCTGTATGTGTCCCTAGGTCTGAAATGGGTCTCTTGTAGACAGCATATTTATGGTCTACTTTGGTATCCATTCAACCAGTCTGTATCTTTTAGTTGGAGCATTTCATCCATTTACATTCAAGGTTATTATCGATATCTGTGTTCCTACTACCATTTTCTTAATTGCTTTGGGTTTATTTTGGGGGTCTTTTTCTTCTCTTGTGTTTCCCACATAGAGAAGTTCCTTTAGCGTTTGCTGTAAAACTGGTTTGGTGGTGCTGAATTCTGTTAGCTTTTGCTTGTCTGAAAAGCTTTTGATTTTGCCGTTGAGTCTGAGTGAGATCCTTGCTGGGTAGAGTAATCTTGGTTGTAGGTTTTTCTCTTTCATCCCTTTAAGTATATCCTGCCACTCCCTTCTGGCCTGCAGAGTTTCTGCTGAAAAATTAGCTGATAACCTTATGGGGATTCCTTTGTATGTTATTTTTTGCTCTTCCCTTGCTGCTTTTAATATTTTTTCTTTGAATTTAATTTTTGTTGGTTTGATTAATATGTGTCTTGGTGTGTTTCTCCTAGGGTTTATCCTGTATGGCATTCGCTGTACTTCCTGGACTTGGGTGACTATTTCCTTTCCCATGTTAGGGAAGTTTTCCACTGTAATCTCTTCAAATATTTTCTCAGACCCTTTCTTTTTCTCTTCTTCTTCTGAGACCCCTATAATTTGAATGTTGGTGCGTTTAGTGTTGTCCCAGAGGTCTCTAAGATTGTCTTCAATTCTTTTCTTTCTTTCCTCCTTATTCTGTTCCTGGGCAGTTATTTCCACTATTCTCTTCCAGCTCACTTATTTGTTCTTCTGCCTCAGTTATTCTGTTATTGATTCCTTCTAGTGTGTTTTTCATTGCAGTTATTGTGCTGTTCATCTCTGTTTCTTTGTTCTTTAGTTCTTCTAAATCTTTGTT